GTCCAATCTCAATGAGTGTAGTATCGAGTATCAACCAATTTTCAGCTTTCCACCAAAATTGGTTACCTCACTACGTCCTAATGGCCAAGTTGTTCAATTAAGGTTCTAAGGTCAGTTAGTGCTTCGTGATGCCGCTCAGCGGCCCCATATTCTCCTTGATTCAACATAAGAGATACCGATACCAACAAATGCATCACACTAACATAGCCATTGTTTCAACCATATCGGTCTACGCCGTATAATTTCCACAATTTATTGCTACTTACCTAAAAAGGTGTCCCAGGTCCGGGTAGATGATCAAAACAAACCCAAACAAGGAACCATAATGTAAAGCAAACAAAATCAAACAAAGGAAAGTAAGTAAATGTGATCTAGCCCTAAGGTAACCCCACTTTTAAATAACTCCCCAACAGAGTCGCCAGTTCTGTAATACGTGAGAGAACTGACTTGGTTGTTTTGAGTTTGATCGCAATTATACGGATAGCAAGAGTCACCACCAACTTTTCTTTTATCCAATAAGGAAAGGAGGAAAAGAACATGAAAGACATTTCGAGATTATTTCTTGAGTTCGGGGGGTAGGTTATTAAAAGGGAAGTTATTAGCACCCTTTTCATCCGTAGTTATCTACTGGCTCTTAGTTGCTTGCTAGATCACTTGCTTTTGTTTGAAAATGTGTTTATGATGTGAGTTTTGAAAGTATTTTGAAAAGGAGTGCCTTTGTAATGGTTCTTGTCTCTATAAGAACGCGTACAAAGAATTTTATCTTTTGAAAAATGTTTCAAAGTGAAAGCGTGGGTGTATGAAATGTTTTTGTTGTGAGCAAGCGAGCAACTAGGAGAAACCTACCTACTCAAAAGGTTTTAAACGTTCTTTTTCTCCTCCTTTAGATGTTGTTATCTCACCATTGTTTTGGTAAGAAACCCCATCGTTGGGTGTGAAGGGACGGGCACGGGATGTTTTTATAGTCATAGAAGGCAACCTATGGGACGTTTTAGCAATGTCGTTTAGGGACTAGATCGTTTATGGAAGGCAATATTGAGGGTCATCGAGGGACTACGATCTTTTATCGTGGGTCTTTACTAAAACGCCCATATTCGAGGGACATGACTATTTTCTGATAGGCAACAAAATTGGATTACCCTAAGGGTGATAGTGTGAAAGTGTGTTTGATTTACATGCATTTTGTCTTGATTAGGGTTATCTATTTGTTGATTTTATGTCTTGCCATACAAACTCTAATTACTAACATTTATATATGAAAGCGGTAAATTTGCCGAAATGTAAAGTCCTACGCTATTACATCATTATGGGATGGGGGTACAAAATTACAAATGGATATTTGCAAGAATTTAAATCCTAATTAACTATTACAACCATATTGAATTGTATAATATAAGAAAAGGAAAAGACTTGTTTTGAAAATGGTTTTTTTGTCTTAATGAATTAGAAGAAAAAGGAAATAATTAGTTAATAAAAAGAAAATATTTTTATGTCTTTTTTATATTAATAAAATTAGTACTAATAATAAAATAAAAGAGAAAAAAGAAAAAATAAATAAAAATAGGATCAACATGTTGTTGAAAGCAAAATAAAGAGGACCAAAAGTTCTGATGCTAGGCGCGCTGTGGTTCAGCAAAAATCATCAGAGGTGATCAGAAGTTAAGTTGATGCACTTTGTGGTCCTGAAAGAGACATTAGGGGGAAAACAGAAGTTCTGGGTCGCTACGTGTTGAAGTTCGAACCTTCATTCCCCAGACGAAGCATGAACGAAGTTGGTTGGGAAAACATCTATTTGCTGTCATGAATCAGAGGCGTCTTTTTTCTTTGGGTTGTTTGGAGCATTTGAAAGAAAGGCCATGGTTTTGTTGGTAGAGAGATTATGAAAGAGATGAAGTTTTTAAGGATTTCTTTTTGAATGCAAAGAGACAAAGAATATCAGACGGTTGGAAAAAAATTCCAAAGGGAGATGTTCGTGGCTATTTATAGAAGCCATGGAAGAGTGTAGAAGCCATGGAAGAGTGTAGAAGCCAAGGAAGAATGTTTTCCCTCAAAGTCATTTAATGCTGCAAAGTGAGTGGGACACGTGGTGATCTTTGAAGCAGTTGTACAGACAAGTGATGGGAATGCTTGCCATGCTTTCCTAGGTTATAGGGATAATGGTCATCATGACAGCATGTAACAGTGACTGATAGTGACATATTGGAAAAGTGTAATGATGGCTCTGATGCCAACAATGATTGGTAGAAGACGAAAAGTTCACTGTGAACTTATGTGACCATGAAATGGACAGGTGTCAAATATAAACATCAAAGAATGGTTATTTATCCTTGTGTCGAAATTGACATTCTTGGGGGGAAACTTGTTAGCTCCTAAATTCGACACTCACACATATTGACCTTATTGGCTAAAAATAGATTGAATAAATCTAAGTTGAAGACACTTAGACAGAAGATCCTATGAAAGGAGTTGTGTCAAAGTCATCCTTGCTAAGAAGGAGGAAACACTTAGAGAATTTTCTAAGTTAAAGACAGTCTTCGACCGAGAGGCCCTTGTATCAGCAGCAAGTGGATTTGAATTTGAAGAAAGGAGGGAAAGGCAGTTCATTTGGCAGTTAGGAAAAGCAACGTGACATGAAGATATGGGTCGAAGAGCATGTAGAGGACACTTGTCCTAATCCTGGAACGAAGCAACTGTTCGCCAGTTACTTATTACTAGTATAAATATAGGAATTTTGTGTAGAATTTCGTGTGTTCAACTTATTGTACAAGTCACTCAATTTTATTCAAGTACCCACTGTGAGAGAAAGAATATTGAGAATGTACGTTTGAATCACCATACTTTATTGCAATCAAAGTCTTTACATTTCTTTTATAATCCGTGCCATTTAACATTTCTCTGCAAACTTTACCATTATAGCCTTTTAAATTACTGCAAATTTACTTTATCCCGCACTTTACTTGCGTTTTTATCAAGTTTTTATCTTCATCCCACCTTTACTCTTAGTATCAGGTTGAACCTGTTCATGAACAAAGTTAAGACTTTTTATCAAACTCCAAAAAACACTTAGCATATGTCCTAGAAATAAACTGATTGATCCTACATGTAACCAAAATAACCCTTTTGGAAGATCAGCGGTTGTTTACTAATTTTCATGGTAAATAGATACACTTGAAACAATACTTTGTAACCCTCCATCTATTATTTTGGAGTATTGTAATGATTTAACGAAATGTACATAACATAACAAAGAAGCAGAAGGTTGTGGAATCACCTGTTTGTCGTTAACGACCATTTTAAAGTGTTCTTTGGTAGAAGATTTGACCGTCCATTTGTGATGGACTCTCACGGCTAGCTTCCACAACTGTTTTTTATCGGTGATATCGTGAATCTCCTTGAACAGTCGCACCATTCTCTTCGTGGATGCAAGACGGTGGCTGGTTACGATTATTAGAATGAGTTCAAGGTTTAGGTTGTAGAGCAGAGATGGTAGACGGTACAAAGTGGTTTTGCAAGATGAAAGAAAGAGAGAGAGTGGGTATGGTATAATAGAAGAAGGTTGTTCAGGTGAGGTGACGATATAGGAAAGCGTGCATAATAAATAGATATTGTGTAGGTTTTGCAACATAAGTTAGGTTTGAGAGAAGTTTTTAGTTAGTCTCAGGCCATTTGTACGTAAAGGCTAATAAATGCATGGTTGCATCTTAACAATTAGTCACATAGTTATAGTAAAGGCATCAAAAGACATGAAGTGATATGTGGAAGATAAACAAGCAAGGACAAAGTGGTCTTAACCAAAGGATAGAGAGTTCTTATATGGTAGAAATTCATTTTACATCTTTAAGTGATTCTTTTGAATGACATGCTACTATAAAGAACTTAAAATATAATTATAATAAAAAAATAAAATTTAATAATCAAATTATAAGTTAAATATAATATAAAATTTTAACAATAATATGTTATAAAAATTATTTGACAAAACGTAGATATTAACAACTGATATATTTAAAAAATGATATATTTTGATAAATCAATTAATTATTAAATTATTAAATTATAAACTAAATATATGATAAATTAATGATATATCATAAAAAAAGTCATTAAAATACACAACATAATTTTTTTTAAAAAAATTGAGATTAAAAAAAAATCAAAGTTTGAATATTTTTTCAAAATAAAAACTCATATTTTGAACAAGTAAAAATGTATTAAAAAATATAAAACTAAAGTATAAATTTATGCAAAGATATTTTCTCTATACAATTATTAATTATTAATTTTATAAAACTAATTTAAAATAGTTTTTGAAAAGTAAATCATACATGCCCTAATTTAGTTGATTTTTTGAATTAATTTTTAACTAACGAGAGAATTCAGTTAGATCCTTTTTCTCAGATACATATATTTAAGCACACTATATTCATGGAGGATTAATATAATATATATCCATATTCATAAAAAAAAAACTTTTAAAAAAGAAATAACAAACTAAAGGAGATATAAACATCTTAAAAAACAAACTAATCTTTTAAATCTTGTATTTTAAAAAAGAAATCGGTTTTGATTAGATAATTTGAAATTAATTTGTTATCGCTAAGAAGATATGAAACAAACAGTGAAGTTTAAACTCAGCTTCGCTATAAATCAGCCATACACTTTGATAAATCAGCCAAAGAAATAATATATATATATATATATATATATATATATATATATATATATATATATATATATATATATATATATATATATATATATATATATATATATATATATATATATATATATATATATATATATATATATATATATATATATATATATATATATATATATATATATATATATATATATATATATATATATATATATATATATATATATATATATATATATATATATATATATATATATATATATATATATATATATATATATATATATATATATATATATATATATATATATATATTAACATACAGTTTGATTGAATTTTCATGAGTTTGAAGCTTATGGAGAATTGCGATTTTGCTTCTAGAATTATAGAAGAACCTTCAAATGACGAGAGTTGTAAGAGGAAGAACAAGAAAACAAAGACAAATAGGGAAAGATCAAACAAGCCATCAAAGAAACTAAAGAAGAAAACCAGCAACAAGGCGGAACTCCCGTTGGCGTTTAAAGAAAAGATTGAACAAATGGGAGGCGATGAGGTGAAGTTCGTGATCGAGAAGGAACTAACCAACAGTGATGTGACCCAAAACAATGGTCGTCTCTCCATCCCAAAAGGAAAAATTAACGAGAGTTTTCTAACACCAGCGGAGGAATCGTACTTGGATTATGAGCGTAATAAATAAGAAAAGATTGCTGGTATTTATGTATCTCTGTTGGATCATGATCTTAACCTCTGGGATAAAATGTGCTTAAAGAAGTGGAAAATGGAGACCGCTGAAGTCTACAATATCAAAGATGGATGGAACGAACTTGTAGCAGATAACAATTGGAAAAAAGGCCAAAAGGTGTTGGTGCAACTTTGATCTTTCAGACGCAACCACAAGCTCTATTTTGCACTCGTCAAGCTTTCAAAAGACGAGTAGTGAAGTTTTTTTATGGTGAAAGACTTTACATTTCTTTAAAGAAGATTTTTTTTAGGGAGTGTTTTGACATTTGTGCTTCTAGATTTTCTTAAGTTTTCTTATTTCCTCCTTTTGGCAAGATTTTGTGCTTCCTTAGTTTTGCTTATGTATTGTTTGTTGCACTAATCATTACTTTAACAATTGTTGTGTCTTGCTTAATTTTAATTTTAATTTATTATTATTATATTGTTTCTATATTAATGAAGTAGAAATCATAGATATTTTGATGAAGTAGAAAGAGCATATTAAAGAGAGTTTGGTTATCTTTATTGTGTGATTACTTTCTCTATCTCAAAATAAAAGTCTTTTTAGTCAAAAAAATTTGTCTCAAAATAAGCGTTTTTTTTACGTTTTTAACTTAACATTAATTATTTTTTATCAACTTTACTACTAATAAGTGTATGTTTGGTTCCACTCTACAAGACCTATAATCAAATTTTGAGATATAGAATTGATTCTGAGTGATTTTGAGATGTTTAGTATTTTAAAAGTAGAATTGACTTTAGAATTGATTCTACTTGAAACTAGAATTTGTAATTTCTGTCTCCATAATTGATTATGAGTAATTTTTATACTTTAAAATTTATTGTTCAACTCACGTTTACACAATTGTATCTAAACATAAATCAATTCAGCTAAATTCAATTATTGTAAAATCAATTTTATCCAACTCAATTATACTAAAATCAATTATGTTCACTACAAATCCAAACACACACTTAATACTACTTGTCTACACAAATTTCAAACTATTACATCATATTACACCTTTATGTCAACCAATAATAATTAAAGATAATTTTGTAAAAGTATTACGTTTAATTTTTCAATTATTATTTTTCTTAATCTATATTGATCAACTTTAAAATACATTTATTTTAGGGTTAAATATATTTTTGATTTTTATAAATATCTCAAATTTCATTTATTTTAGAATTTTTTAAAATAAGAAGAATTAAATATGATTTTTTTAAATTTCAAAAGATATTGATAAAAATAATGAAAATCTCGACTGAGAAATCAAATTTTGAATTTCTTTTTTTCCAATAAATTTTTTATAACGTTCTAAACATGTCTACAAAATAATCATTCAAAAATATATATTGGTTTAACAACAGAAACTAAAACTATATGCCTAATAATTTTATAGGGACTAAAACATGTCATTGACTAAAAATGAAATTTAAAATATTTATAGAGATCAAAAATAAAATTTATTTATTTATTACTAAAATAAAAAGAACGTGAGAGGATTCTAATCCATAATTTTCAATACTTAATTTTAATTGATGAATAGCAGAAATTGCAACCTGATGTTGGGTTGAAAAAATTGCAGCAAGACCAACTTATTTAGCATTTGGTTGAATTTACAATACTTTATGTAACCAATAATGTACATCTGCTGCTTTTTCTTAGCCTCGCTTAAACATAATCTTTGGATTATTTAATGGGACTCAAGCCATTGAAACAACTTATTTAATTTTGACTTTAACGGTATAATTATAAAAAAAAAATTAATATTGAGTTTCATAATTTTATTTCATATATTAGTATTTTATTCATATTAAATTTTATTTTAATTAAAAATATTAATTTAAGTTATTTAAATTAATATTGATTTGCTTTCATTCAGATCTGAACCGCACAAACATAACATTTTAAATTTGTCCTATACGTAAATCTTATACTGTACACATGCGTAACGTTCATTAGATTTTTTAGATCTTTAACTTTCAAAGTAGCAACTATGTGTCTCTGAAAAATTATATTATATTTTGTCATGTCATTCACAACCTATCTTTCATCATCACTACAAAAAATATCATCTTCAGCCACGTGTTTTTGCCACGTGATTATCATGTGGCTAAAAAAAGCCAGTTGCGACGTGATAATCACGTGGCAACATGTTTTATTAATAAAATAAAGAAGCATGATGGTTGTGTGAGTTTTAAAAAAAAAATATGTTGCGACGTGGGAATCACGTCGCTAGTAAAAATATAATATAAAATATTTTAATTGGTATAACGTTCAGATGGAGGGATTTTTGAAATTTTGAAAAAGTCAGTTGTGACGTGGTATTCACGTCGCAATATTTAAGAGGGAAAAATAAATTAATTCAGACTGACATGATCAGCTTTTGCAGGTATGTGAAGAAAGAGAATATGACTGTTGACATTGTTGCGACGTGAAAGTCACGTGGCAAAGTTGCGGCGTGATTTTCACGTCGCTGAGTGGTTTATATATTTAATTAAATCATGTTACACCAAGCAGACAGTAGTTCATTTTCATCAAACACTCTTTCTCTCTATTAACCATCTTCTTCTTCAAAAATCCCAATCTCCATTAACCCTCTTCTTCTTCAAAAATCCAACTCAATCTCTATTATAAAACCTCTTTTTTTTCCATAAAATCCAACTTCAATCTCCATTAATCCTTGTTTTTCAGGTAAATTTAATTTAATTTTGTCTCTATTTTGTTTACAAGTTTTTATTTATTGTATTATGGGATTCTAATTTATTTTAATTTTTCTTTGAATAGAAGAAGATTGATATAGTAGAACTAGATTGCAAAAAGGTTGGACAAGAAGATTGAAGGAGTTAGAAGAGAAGAGGTATTTCTTGGAAATTTTTTTTACATTTAGTATATTTTCTGAATTTAGTTAAATTTTAGGTTGAATTTGGTTAAATTATAATATTGTAATTTTCATTAAATATAATTTTAAAAAATGAGAATATATATTATATAGGTACTTCTTGTTAAAAAACGAAAATATATATAAATAAATATTTATTAATAAACAAAAATATATATTATGATAAGTTATATATCTTGATTTATTTAATTTATTTATTATAAAAAACCAAAAAAAAATAGAATAATATATAAATTTTATAAAAACAGTTTTAATGTTAATATATATTTTATTTAAAACAAATATAATATAATATTTTATGTATTGATTAAAAACATATATAAAAAAATAGTTTTTTGTATTTAATAAAGACATATTTAAAAACTGTTTTAATATGTATATATTTAGTAAAAACTGTTTAATGTTATTATTATAAAATCTGTTTTATAATTAAAAATATATATTTAATGTTATTATTTTAAAAGTCTTTTATAATTATGCATATATAAAAAAAAGTATAATATTATAAAAAACAATATATATTTGATGTTAATATATTTTTTTAAAACAAATATAATATTATATTTTATGTAGAATGTTAATAAAAATGGTTTTATAATTAAAAAAATATATATATATATATATATATATATATATATATATATATATATATATATATATATATATATATATATATATATATATATATATATATATATATATAAACTGTATTATATGTTAATAAAAAATATTTATATATCATATATATAGAATGTTAATAAAAACTGTTTTATAATTAAAAAAATTATATAATATTATTATATGTTAATAAAAAACGGTTTTATAATTAAAAAATATTATATAAAAATTATATTATATGTCAATAAAACATTAATATAGTATGTTAAAAAACATTATATGTCAATAAAACATTATATATAGTATGTTATAAAATATTATATATAAAAAACTGGTTTATGTATTTAATTATTATATATTATATGTATATTAATAAAAACAGTTTTATAATTAAAAATTATTTTATAAAAACTATATTATATGTCAATAAAAAATATTATATTAATTATTATATATTTAATAAACTATATTAATAGTATATAATAAAAAACATTATATATTAAAAATAGTTAAAATAAAAGTATATGTTTATGTTTAATAGCATATATACATAGTATATTTTTAGTAGTAATAAGAACAAGAACAATATGTTTAGGATTATTATTAAGTTGATTAATTAATATTTCTAATTAAAAAGGTTTTGATTATATAAATTTGCAGTAAATGGAATATTATAGGTATTATCGTAGTTGGATGTACGATAGGCTATATCCAAGAAGACGCGCACTTAAACCCAATTTTATAGACGGAGTTAATGGTTTTATCACGTGGATGTTTGCTCAGGAATGTTGTCGAAGTGAAGAAGGAGTTAGGTGTCTTTGTCTTAAATGTGGATGTAGATATATAATTAGTGATCCAGAGGAAATAACACGTCATTTGTATAGAAAAGGTTTCATTGAAAATTATTGGGTTTGGACGTATAATGGTGAAACACTGCCGAGTAATGTACCAGAGACTAGCAACACAGATGCTTCAAGTAGTCGACCGACTATGCAACCGCCTATGGAATTTGAGGAAAACTTTAATTTGATAGGTGACATGGTTGATGATGCTTTTGGTGTTAACGTGACCTATGATCAACCAGAAGATTTTGACGGGGAAGAGTTGCTGAATGAGGAAGCGCAAAGATTTTATCAGTTGTTGAATGAGATGAGTACTCCAAGAATCATAAGGAATCCTGTAAATGTTATCGAAAGAAGTCGGTACACCTTATCAGTCTTCGGGCTTCCAGGTCGTTCCTCTGGAAAGAATGGTGAGCATTGGTTGACCCAACAAGAAATGCAATCTGCACATGTTCATGTCTTGATCAACTGCATTGAAGTTAAACCATATCTTGAGTAAGTATAATCCAAATTTTTAATTTTCTTTACAGTGTGAATATAAAATTGATTACCTTGAAACTTATAGTGTGTTTCTTTTTAGGGAATTTAACAACGCCTATTTTGATAGT